AAAAAAAAAAAAGAAGTATCAGATCAATAGATTACAAAGAATCATTGAATTTTTTTATTGTTATAATTCCTGGTGGCTGTCTCCTATTCAATGAAAAAGAAATGATATGAATTATGGCTTCCAGTGTTTGCAAGCAAAGGACAATATTAATTGCTTTAGGGGTCAAAGAAGTAAACCCTCAAAATGTTCCATGATCCTGGACTACCTTATAATTTACCATACTTTAACTTGCCATATGGTTACAAATTTTTAATCAATGAGCAAGACTAAAACATAATTTAATGAAATCTCACCCAAAGAATTGTCATTATATATAATAAGTTTATAAAAAATTCTTAACCTTGTAACTATTTATTATTATTATTATTATTCTACAAACAGATGAATTGCACTGCACTCATGGCTCCTGGAAATCTCAGCCAGGTGACTGAGTTCATTCTCACAGGAGTCTCAGATCTTCCAGAGCTGCAGATTCCTCTCTTTCTTGTCTTCCTTCTCATCTATGGGCTGACCGTGATGGGGAACCTGGGCATCATCACCCTCACCAGTGTTGACTCTCAACTTCAGACCCCCATGTACTTTTTCCTCCGACATCTGGCTGTCATCAACCTAGGAAACTCTACTGTCATTGCCCCTAAAATGCTGGTCAACTTCTTAGTAAGTAAGAAAACCACTTCATACTATGAATGTGCCACCCAACTGGGAGCATTCCTCGTTTTTATCATAGCTGAGGTGTTCATGCTGGCAGTGATGGGCTATGACCGCTATGTGGCCATTTGCAATCCCCTGCTCTACATGGTGGTGGTATCTCAGCAGACTTGCAAACTGCTGGTTTCACTCACCTACCTGTATAGCTTTTCCACAGCTACTGTGGTTTCATCTTTGGTATTCTCTGAGTCTTACTGTGCTTCAAATGTCATCAATCATTTTTACTGTGACAGTGTCCCTCTGTTAGCCCTGTCCTGCTCTGATACTTACATTCCAGAAACAATAATCTTTGTATCTGCATCAACAAATATGTTTTTTTCTATAACAATAGTTCTAGTATCTTATTTCAACATTGTTTTGTCTATTCTAAGGATGCCTTCATCAGAGGGAAGGAAAAAAGCCTTTTCTACCTGTGCTTCACATATGATGGCAGTCACAGTTTTCTTTGGGACTCTGCTGTTCATGTATTTGCAGCCTCGAATCAGTCATTCCCTGGATACTGATAAAATGGCATCTGTGTTTTACACCCTGGTGATCCCCATGCTGAACCCCTTGATCTACAGCTTGAGGAACAAGGATGTGAAGGCTGCCTTAAGGAGATTCATGACAAATCCATTCTGGTCCCTTAAAACAATGAAGTTTATGAACTTGTAGGTAAATAAAGAGAAAGATGATTACCTGAGTAATCTTAGTTATGTAACTAAGCTGACAATTTAAAGGTATTTCTAGGAAAAAAGAAAAGAGGGTCCAGGATATAGGATGCAAAGGACATTAAATTAAAAAAATAAACTGTAGGTTATTAAGTTGTGAGGGTAACAGAAACACAGATATTATTCCATAACTCTGCCTGCAAGTGAGCTGGTCACCAGTGTGAAAAAAATAAATAAAATTTCTGCAGAGTCCAGGCAGATATATGTTTCAAAAAGTTAAACAAATTTAAAATGAGTAAAGGCATATGGAAAAGAGGAATAAAGCTGATTATTTTTGTTCTTGGCTTTTGTTTTTGTTTCTTCTGAGTATAATTGATATAATGGATCACTGCACCTTGACAAACTGTAATTACAGATAAATAATGTAATTTTTATATGTTATCAAAATTGAACTGATATTTCTATTTAAAACTCCTTGTCTCTTTCTTAATGTATTTGGAATGAATAACTGAATTCTACTAATAGGTAGCATTTAATGCTTCCAAGTAATGTTATGTACAATTTTAAAAGTAAATCCCAACATACAATATAATTTCATGAAATTTGATTTATATGCTTGATACATTCTTTAAAGGTTTTTCTTTTTCTTTGTTTTGAGTATATACTTTTATATTTTTTGAAATTAATATCTTTTACTGTGGTATTACTGGACTTTAATGGGTTATCTTCATCTACATTTCTTACATCATTAGAGGAAAAAAATAAATTCATCAATGATTTTGCTTTATTTATGGAAACTCCTTGATCTGTAAGCATACACCAAAGTCTGTTGTATACAACCTTAAATATGTGGTGGAGAACCAGGCTATATTTGAGAATTATCA